TCCCCCCGCCAGGAATAGCAGTGAATTGTTTCCACTTCCCCAGGACAGTTTTTCAGACAACATGGACATCCAAACCTATGGCAAGTCCTTAGGCAGTGCCAGATCCAGCCACACTGGATCAAGCAGGCCCATGGAAGATTACCCAAGCCTACTTAAGAAGTACCAAAGTCTACCTTGGAAAAAGCAAGTGTGGGGGAGAAGGAAATAGAAAAATAATTTCTAAGAGGAAGGATTTTACTGACTGGGAAAAAAACACATGCATTTTTTACATTTCCAGAAAGTGTTTCAACTAAGATTAAAAAAACAAGACCAACCTAGAGTGGTCAGCTGCAGGCCAGGCGGGCCCTTTGGTGAGGAGGAATGTGCTCCTGAAGGATAAGAAGCACTTGCTCTCTGCCTGGTGTATTAATTTCCTATTTCTGTTGTTAATAAATTACCACAAATTTAGCAGTTTAAAACAGCACAAATTTATTCTCTTATAGTTCTGGAAGTCAGAAGTCTAAAATCATGGTGTAGACAGGGCTGGGTGCCTTTTGGAGACTTTAGGGGAGAATTCATTTCCTTTCCTTCTTCAGTTTGTAGAGGTCAACTGCATTCCTTGGCTCATGGCCCTTCTTAGCATCACTCTAACCTCTTGCTTCCATTATCACACTCCTCCTTCTACTAATGCTAATCCACTTTGCCTCCCTCTTAAAAGTACCCTTATAATTATATTGGTTGGGTTCACCTGGACAACCAAGGATAATTTCCACATATCAGGTCCTTAACCTTAATCATACCAGCAAAATCCTTTTCGGCTTCCTAGGTAGCACTAGTGGTAAAGAACCTGCCTGCCAATGCAGGAGACTTGTAAGAGATATGGGTTCGATCCCTGGGTCAGGAAGATCGCCTGTAAGAGGGCATGGCAACCCACTCCAGTATTCTTGCCTGGAGAATCCCATGGACAGAGGAGCCTGGTGAGCTATAGCCCATAGAGTTGCAAAGAGTCAGACACGACTGAAGTGACTTAGCATGCATGCGGAGTACTTTTTATCATGCAGGGTAACACATTCACAGATTCCAGGGATTAGAAGGTGGACATCTTTAGGGGGCCATTATTTAGCCAATTACAGGTTAGACTAGCTATGGAGAAGTCAAGTTCACCAGGTCATAGCTCTGCCACGAGGCCTGTAAAGTCCAGATTTGTGTGAATTATCCTGTTCTTTGAATGTGAGCCTCTGAACTGTTTGCCTTTGTGTTAGATGACTAGTCCAATCATCTGTCCTTATGGCAAGAATCGAGTGGTACAGAATTCATGAAGTTAACCCTCTCTCAGGTTGCTTTTTTCAAGGAGAAGCTGAGTAGAAACTTGCTATAGTAAGTACAGCTTAATCAGCCCAACTCCATGTTTTTAGTTTGTTTATAAACCTGACAGTCAGTTAAAATAAAATGAAACTGAGAAGGTAGGGTGGGAAGAATAGTTAGGGGAAGAGAAATTAATGCTTGGGGGTTTCTAGGACTTGAGGTTGGAATGCTCACACCCAAACTCACTTGAACAAGATGAAAAATGATGGATGTTCTGTTTATTAAGATAATGTATTCAGGAAGTGTCAAGGCAAAGAACTTATCAGTGACTGGACAAGGCAGAAGGTACAGGTCTGGGGTGTGACCACCCCCTTCATATTGGCTCACTTCAAGAATAACTATCCTCATGGTAGGTCGTGCAATTCGTTCCAATCCATGAAGTAAAATTCACAGAAGCCTCCCTCAACAGTGGTGAACTGAGTATTACAGAGCTTCATGTGTAGGAGGGACAGTCTCAGGGTAGGCCTTTATTAAAAGTTATTTAAAAAAATCGATATGTAATTGATGCTTTTCATAAAACTTGAAAAATGTGAATTAAGGTTGTCAAAATCTAAAGAATATTTGTTATAAATAAGACACATTTTTGAAAATATTACATGAAAATTGTTCAGTGGTGAATTAGGTTTTAATCCTATTATGTATTTTTCTTCCATTCTTAAGGGTCAGCAAGCATACTTAGGACTGTAAAGTCCTGGAGGGGAAAAGCCCCAGGACTGTATATACTCTAGTTTATTCTGTGAATTTGAAAGTTTCTTCAATGTAAAAACAAAGGTTCATCTCTTATTAGAAATACAGACATCAGCATAAACCCAAAGCTTTTGTTGGCTAAAGGAGTGGTATTCATAGTTTTGGTACTGCAACATTTTACCTAGAAGTTTAATGAATCAAAAGAGTTATCTATGAATGTGGTGCTGGGGAGAATGCAGGGGGAGAGGGGGAGAAGGAGGGGAAATGAGAAGGGGGAGAGAAACTATAAAAGATAGTTATCTTTTAACTATCTTCACTAATGATTTACCCAGTGACCTTTACCAAATACATTTTGCAAATATAATGAAAATGTTTATAATGCCCTCAAAAATCCCCATGACACTACATAACCTTTATTACATTAATATACTCACGTGACTCCAAATAGAATGAATATTGTAAAGAATGTATATTTAGAAGTGAGGCTTGATCTAAGCCCTCTGAGCTTTGTGACTTTAGATAGGATCCATTTCCCTAGTGATTTCAGTTGATCCTATGGTTCCATCTTATCAGCCCAATGAAATTGTGATTTCCAGGTAGAGTCCAATTCCCCAGAGTTCTCTTTGGTCCCTGGTATTGACACGAATCATAAATTTGTGCTTCTAAACACTCAATTGCTCCTTCTTCTTCCTTTCCCCTTACCATCTGTTTTGTTTAATGAATAAGGTTTTTTAATATAAAAGGCACATATGTAAGTTTTTCTAAAACTCAGATGCCCAAATAAAAAATTACCACACTGACAGCAGTTAGCAGTTTTCATAATTTAATGAAAAAGTATTGGTAAAAAGGTGACATTTGAAAAAAGACAGTTTGTCTTTGAAAACTGGACTATATAAGACAAAATGAAAAAGATTTAACAAGAAGGTTAAGAGGTAATACTTCAAACAACAGCAAAATGTAGCAAATACATTTTGGGGCAGTTGAAATGTATACAGCTGAAGGCTCCTTCATTTACTTAGGAAAATTCTGTAAAAATATTACAACTATATTTCCCTGACTGAAATTATTTTTGTCAATACTATCCCAATGGCATTACATATATGGAATTTGGCTGAAGCACTTTTTTCAATGTTTGCTTTTCTTCCCACTCACTCAGAATTGAAAGGCATGAAAGGACACAGGTTACTGTACTGGCCTTTAACAGAGGAGTTTATAACATAGCTCCACTAGAATGTCATTACCATGAAGGTGTCAAATTATTATCTAACCCAGGAAATGCAAAGAAAAGGTACAGAAATCTAGTGCATAAATTGGAGAAATTCTCTTCCTCATTTGGATAATCCATAGCCTCTTCCTTTGTATTCAAACGAAATACAGGACACTGATCACACATGCTATGGCATGTTCACACATGCACACAGGCACAAAATAAACATTTTGAAGGTGTAGCCAAAGGAGAGGCAAAATACAGAAGTTTCCAGAAAAGGAGGAAGAAATAAAACCAAAGAAGGCTATAGAAACAAAAGTGGGAAAGAGGAAAACTACTGAGTTTCCCATATTTATGGAGAGAAGAAGGGCCCCTGCCTTTACTGCAGCTGGGATGTTTCACCAGGAAGCAACTTAAAAAATCTAAAATGGCCTCATTGTCTGAAAAGTCTCACTACGTGTTCCCAAAATAGAAGAAAGAGAACATTAATTTAAGGCTAAGAAAAGTGAGCAGAGAATTATATATAGTTGGCTTCACATTTTAAAAACTGTAACATTTTCCTCTTCTTTAAATGGGAAGCAGGTATGTTTTATCCTCCACAAACTAACTATTCTCTTCCTCCCCAGAATTAATCAAGGCTGATAGTTTGGGAACAGAGTATGAGCAACTTCTGAAAAACAGCTCCAGCCTTTTTGTTTTGGAAATTGCCTTGGATTCATAGTTGGTACAAAGCTAAATTATATCCATGTGTTAAACACATGCTTTCAAATTCTGTTTGACAATAAAAATCTGTTTCAAAATTAAAGCAGATAAGAATATTTAACTTCTTTGCACTTTATTATCTTTTAATTATACCTCAATAAAAATTTTATAAACATTAAAGCAGGTATACAAAAACTGTCAGCCAAACATTTAAGTCAAACTTATTTGAAAACAGTTAACACAAAAACCCTGACCTGATACAAATCCCTCAGAAATGTTCTCACTTTGGGAAAGGCTCTGGGATCCTTCACAAGCGCCTAAACTGAGAGAATCAGAGCATTTTCCTTGGAAGTAGTACTTTTGTAAACACTATCCACAAGTTAGCCTTTTATGCTTGTTAGCTGGGTGAAATAGTTACGAGTGCGTCCCCAACAAGCAAGTCTAGGAACAGGCACTGAACACTTATAAGCATTAGGTGTATTGACTTGTTAAGTTAAGATACTGTGAAAGGAACTCAACCTTGCGCAAAGCAAAGGAAGAGGGTAGTGAGTTTGACAGTATCTGAAATATTGGTCCCTGGTCTTCCCCTGAAGAGTGTTTCCAGGTACCAGTGGAGTTAGAAACTTCCTACAGACACCAGGTCTGGGAGTCACATGCTGTAGCTTCAAAAGATAAGTAGTTTTAGTGTCTGATAATCATGGTCTCTTGCAAATCCATTAACAGTGCATGAACTCTTAATATGTATGTGTATCAATGTGTTCATATAATTGGAATGCTGCCCCAAAGTATTTACTGAGCAAATTACTCTGGTCCCAGCTGTTCTCACTAGTCTCTGGCAAAAAAAACACAACCACCCAAACTTTTGGACAATATGTAATCCCAAAATGTGCTTGTAAAAACTAGACTTGACACCAGTTCAAAAACTGCAAGCCAATTTAGTGTGGAAAAATTTAATCCATTTTACAGTTCCTTCCAACATATACTAGAGTCATTTTGGTGTATGAGTTTTCCCCAATATATGAGGCAAAGGCAAAGATGGAGGTTTTCTTGGGACTTCTAATCACCTCTGCATTGAACTGTGGGAAAGAGGATATGTCTTGCTTTTACCATGGCAATCCCGTTTGGAATCATGGGGAGGATCTTCCCTGTCTGAACTCTCTCTCTTTACCCTGACTTTTTCTTCATTCACATCACTTTCTGCTTCTGAATCACTCAGCTCCACATCTGGGCAATACCCATCATTCTCCTGATACGGAGCTCTCCCTGCAGACCGCCTGACAAGCTGCTTGCCCCAAAGCTGCTCTTTGGGGCTAATATTCTTGGTTGCCTTCACATAGCACTGGAGGTTCTCTGTGTTCTTCACCCACTTACTGGTGACCTCCCTAAAGGACCTGCTGAGGTGCTCCACAGATTTTCTAAGGCTGCCCTGACTACCCAAGTGGGAGCTGAGCATGGGCTCCTGGTCAGAGAACATCTCACCTGAGCTGTCTTTTTGGGTGACATCCCCAGACCAGGTGCCCTCTAGGCCATTGGATTTGGCAAACTTGGGATTAGGTTGATTTTTCCCATTCCCAATGGAAGACTGTCCATGCAGGGCAGCCTGAAGGACCAGAGGCTTTCCCAGAGACTGCCCATGATAGAACTCAGGAGATGGCAGTTTGCAAGCAGGACTGGGATCCTCTGCTTCACTTCTATCATCGCTGAGACTGGTCAGTAAACAGTCAGTCTGGCTCTCTTGTGGATGCTTTGGGTATGACTTCATTCTCATTTCCAGTGAATCTTGAGCCACCTGCATGCTCCTCATATCACAAACAGGGGAGCTGTCATCAGGAGAGAGAGGTCCATGATCAGGCTCTGTGGAGCTGTTACTGCCATCTTCTGTGGCTGATTTGGGCATTTTTAACTTTAAGGTAATTCTTGGTGATGGGTAAAACAATGAATTTTCTAGTGCATTTGTCACAGGAAGTCCTGAGATTAAAAAAAGAAAGATTCATTTTAACAACCAATCTAAATAACAGCATCTGTTTTCATGCAAATGGACATAACAAGAGAGTGGGGGCAGCAATACTCATAATTAGATAAAGTATACTTTAAAACAAAGTCTATAACAAAGACAAAGAATGGCATTAAATAATTATAAAGGGAGGAATACAAGAGGAAGGTATTATACTTGTTACCACATATACCCAAGTAGAGGAACAACAAATATAAACAGCAAATACTAACAGAGGTGAAAGAGAAATTGACAATAATACAGTAATAGTAGGAGACTTTAACACCCCACTTACATTAATGGACAGATCACCCAGACAGAGCATTAACAGGTAACGGTGATCTTAAATGACACAATAGACAAGTTGGACTTAATAGATATCTATAGGATATTACATCCCAGAACAGCAGAATACACATTCTTTTCAAGTGCACATGGGATGTTTTCCAGGATATGTCATATGTGAAGCCACAAAACAAGTCTTGGATTATAAGAATTAACATTGTTAAAATGGCCATACTACATTTTTTACAGAACTACAATAAATAATCCTAAAATTCATATGGAACCACAAAAGACCCTGAACTGCCAAAGCAACCTTGAAATAAAAGAATAAAGCTGGAGGTTATCATGTGCCCAGACTTCAGTTTATACTATAAAGCTACAGTAATCAAAACAGCATGGTACTGGTGCAAAAACAGCCACATAGATTGATGGAACAGACTAGAGCGCTCAGAAATAAACGTACACACCTGTGGTCAGTTACACTTGCCTACAACAAAGGAGGCAAGAATATACAATGGAGAAAAGACAGTCTCTTTAACAAGTGGTGCTGGGAAAACTGGACAGCTTCATGTAAAACAGTGAGATTAGAACATTTCCTCACACCATTTATGAAAATAAACTCAAAATGGACTGAAGACCTAATATGTTATACCTGAAACCATAAAATTCCTAGAAGAAAATAGAACACTTTTTGACATAAATCACAGCAGTATTTTTTTTTTGATCTGTCTCCTAAGACCAAAGAAATAAAAGCAAAAATAAACAAATGGGACCCAATTAAACCTAAAAGCTTTTGCATGCAAAGGAAACCACTGACAAAATGAAAAGACAACCTACAGAATGGGAGAAAACTTTTGCAAATGGTACAACCAATGATGGGTTAATATCCAAAATACATAAAACAGTTCATACAACTTGATATTATAAAAATAAGCAACCCAATTAAAAAATGGGCAGAAGACCTGAACATATTTTGGAAGACATATAGATGGCCAACAGGCGCAGGTAAGGTTGCTCAACACTGATAACTATTAGAGAAACGCAAATCAAAGCCAGAATGAGATATCACCTCACACCTGTCAAAATGGCTATCATCAAAAAGTTTGCAAATAATAAATGTTGGAGAGGATGTGGAGAAAAAGGAACATTTGTACACTGTTGGTGGGAGTGTAAATTGCTGCAGCCACTATGGAAAACAGTAGGGAGGTTCCTCAAAAAGCTAAAATTAGAACTACCATAGGACCCAGCAATTCCACTTCTGGGTATATACCTGGAAAAAACAAAAACACTATTTTGAAAAGGTATGTGCACCCTAATTTTCACAGCAGCACTATTTATAATAGCCAACATATGGAAGCAACTGAAGTGCCCATGAACAGAAGAATGGATGAAGAAGAGGTGATACACACACACACACACACAATGGAATATTACTCAACCATAAAAAGAATGAAATTCTACCATGTGCAGCAACATGGGTTAACTTAGAGAATATGTTAAGTGAAATAAGTCAGCAGCAAAAGACAAATACTTTATGACGTCACTTATATGTAGAATCTAAAAAATAATAAAAAATAATACAAATGAATATATATGCAGAACAAACAGACTCACAGATATAGAAAACAAGCAAGTGGTTAGCAAAGGAGAAAGGGAAAGGGGGAGGGAAAAATTAGGGTATGGGATTGAGAGATACAAACTAGTATGTATAAAATAAACAACAAGGATGTATTGTATAGCACAGGGAATTATAGCCATTATCTTGTAGTAACTTTTAATGGAGTACAATCTGCAAAAATACAGAATTACTATGCTGTACACCTGAAACTAATATAATTTTGTAAAGCAACTATATTTCAATAAAAAAATAAACAAATAAAGGCATACATTTTTACAGCAGAGTTCACACACCCACTCTTCCAAATACTGAGCAAGTACCTGTGTTTGATATGTGCATATAGCAGCTGAAGTTAGCTGAACTAGAGGTTAGGGTGGGGATTGCTACAGAAAACTTAGCACTGCCACTTTTTGCTGTGTGACTCCCAACCTCTTCACCTCTGCTCTCCTAGTCTGTAAAAATAATCACAAAGACCAGTATGATGCCTCATACATCCTTTCTGCTCCCTCTATTTCTGAAAAGAATGTCACTAGTAATGGTTTAAAATAGGGTCTTCCTATTTGTGTGTCTGTACATGTGCGTGAGTGGGTATCGCATAGCATTCAGAACTTGCCTTAAACACAGTCAGGCTTCCCTGGTGGCTCAGGTGATAAAGAATCTGCCTGCAATGTGCTAGACCCAGGTTCGATCCCTGGGTCAGGAAGATCCCCTGGAGAAGGGAATGGCAACCCACTCTGGTATTACTGCCTGGGAAATCCCATGGATGGAGGAGCCTGGCAGGCTACATGCAGTCCATTGGGTCACAAAGAGTCAGACTCGACTGAGCAACCAACACTTTCCCTTTCTTTCACTTTGAACATAGACATTTCAGATCACACCTTCCAGTCTTCCTAAAGTAAGTAAAATACAAACTCACAATGTCCTTAACTTAAAATAATTTCTTCACTATGAATGACCACCATGGAGGTGTGGGGCAGGTTTTGTAGTGGCAAGGCCTCCAGAAAAGAATCATGATATTTCTGCCAATCATGATATTTCTGCTGTTATGGGCTTGGCCTTGGGAGTACTGGCAATCAATTACCTGGTTATATCAACCCTATAATCATATTTAGGACAAGTCTTCCTCTCTCTATTATTCTGAGTGTTCTGAAATCGAAAGGGCACTTTTGTATCAAACAATCTATTTTTGTATAAGGACTTGACCTTTGCCCATTACCATCTCACTGTAGCTTCACAAAGATGACATACAGAGAAGACAACTATTAGGTGCCCCCATGGACATCTGTTCCCTAAGGGTCCAAACTGAACACTCAGTCCCCGCTTCTACCAGGGTCTGCCATCTGTTGCTGCCACAAGCAGTTATAGGGTTGGGTCCCACTAATCAGAAGCCACATGGTCTAGGGACCAATTTCCTTGGCACCATGGAGGCTCTTCCTGCTGTCCTTTGGTTCTCCTTGTCTTGTCTATCATGGTACTCTTATGGCTGAGCAGCCCTGCTGTCTCCTCCTCCACCATTCTGCCATGGCCTGTGATCCTCACAACTTTCCATAAGACTTTGACACCTACCTGACACCTTATTTCTGGGTGTCTCTCTTGCTCTATAGCTGGCCCTTGGCAGAAGCTGGATTCTGCACACATTGCCCAGTGACCCCTAGTTGCCCAGGCTCTGCCACTGACCTTTATGTTAAATGAGGCACAGGGAGGTTACAAATATCTCTGAATATGACTGTCGTCATTCCAGCCAAGCTCCTATGCTTAGAGTACTGTAATTATGCTCACTTGTTTCTCTCACCAAGTGGGCAGAGTTCTCTGAAGGAAGGAATTCTGTCTTGCTTGCTGCTGTCTTCTAGCTCAGCTCTTAGTTCATAGGAGGTGCTCAACAAACATCAGTGAATAAGTGAAAAGATAAGAACCCAGATCTCCTACTAAATTCTGGCTTAGGATTTGTCATTAATGTAACAGATTGTTAGGATGAGTAACCCTGGAATTAAATGTTCTCTGGAAACTAGAATTAGATCGTATCCTACTGATTTCTAAATGAATCCAATGATTTTAGAATCATTTCATGGCTCCAACTAACAGCCTCTAATATCTGTCTGGGACGTAAGTTATCTGTCCTAGACCTGCAACTCTACCAACCCTTGGATTTCTTGCCTCATGAGTCAACAGTGAAATGGGCCATGTTGCATCATGGTTGGACTAGAACAAATGAATTTAAAAGATTTTTAAGTGAAACAATTGATACAAAATTTGTACGGCTTACCTGCAGCAATATCCTCATTAGCAAGCTTGACTTGCAAACCAAAGATCTGTTCTTGTAATTTGTTGTATGACAGTTTCAGCTTTTCTCGTCTGCTTATCATGTAGCACAGGTTTCGGACCTGTAAGCCCAACCCCAAACAAGAGAGTTTTGTCATGTTACACAAACCTGACAACTGAACATTGTTTAGCTAAAATTAAGACAACTTAATTTTAAGTCACATGGGGTGGGGGGCTGAGGAGAGAAGACAGAACCTAAAAGCTGCATAAAGAGAGCCACTACATAGGTATTCACATGGCATGGTCAATGGTGGGATCATGGTTCCCGTATCAATCAGCAGCACAAGCAAAATCTCCAAAGCTACCTTCTCAAGTCTACTCTCCCTGTGGTGTCATGGGCTTGATATTTATCTGTGCAGCCAGGCTGGGAGAACTGAATGATGACTTAACAGTTTAGCTTTCCCTTTAGATCCCTGAGTAAATGGTGGCAATGCTGGATCCAGTATTCTAATGAGTGCTGGACCAGCAGGGTAAAAGTCTGCTGGGAAGACTGGAAGTAGCTTTTTTTTGCTCACACTTTCAGTTCAGCCAAGTTTCCATAGTCACAAGGGTGAAATCCTCACTCTCTCATGCTCTCCCATCTGGACAAGTTACTCAAACTTTCTGTGTCCCAGTTTATTCATCTGAAAATAGGGATAACTGTACCTTCTTCATATGCATGTCAGGATTATGAGTTAATATTTACAAAATGTTTAGAAGAGTGGTACCACATAGTAAGTGCTATATTATGTGTGAGTTAAATTTTAAAAAGTGAGTAAAATCAACCCTGCATATTCACTGGAAGAACTGAAGCTGAAGCTCCAATACTCTGGTCACCTGATGTGAAGAGCCAACTCCTGGAAAAGACCCTGATGCTGGGAAAGATTGAGGGCAAAAGGAGAAGGGGATGGCAGAGGATAAGATGTTCAGATGGTATCACTGACTCAAAGGACATGAGTTTGAGAAAACTCTGGGAGATGGTGAAGGACTGGGAAGCCTGGCGTGCTGTAGTCCATGGGGTCGCAGAGTCGGACATGACTGAGTGACTGAACAACAAAAAATCTATTAGTTCCTTTCCAAATTCTGGTAGCAGAGAAAAAAACAAGCCACCATTACACTTGATTATAAGATTCTCTAGGGTAAACATAGGACCTAACTTATCTTTAAATCCCTACAGTACCTAATTTAGTGTGAATGTGTGTGTGTGTGTGTGTGTATCTCATGAGTTACACTGAGTTATCTGGTGCAGAGGCTCTCAACCAGGAGTAATTTTCCACCCCTAGAGGGCATCTGGTAATTTGAGAACATTTTTGGTTATCACAACTGGGCATGTGGGGGGTTTGCTACTAGCATCTAGTAGGTAGAGGCCAGGGATGCTGCTAAACATTTTACAGTGTCCCTCACAACAAAGAACCATCCAGTCCCAAATGTCAATAGTGCCAAGTTTAAGAAACTCTGATCTGGCACTTTCCTAAGCAAAATTCATTCTTTCTTCAGCCTGCAGTTTTATAAGTGTGTCAGTAAAATATAGCTGAGCCAACTTAGGTTCAACAGTGAAAAAAAGGTAAACCAAATGAAAAATTTATTTCATATTTAAGGTTCATAAAGCATCTAAGTGAGGATAGACTCTTCTATTCTCTGATGCGTCTAGCAGAATTTCAACTAAGCCCAACATTTGGGGCCACAATGAAATCAGAAGATAAGTAAGGGCACAGATGCTTGTACTACAAATATAAATGGGTTGTGTTTGTTTTTTTTTTAAATCTGGAAGTGTGGCCTCCATTCCTATGCAGACCAAGACCTATACCCTAGGTCACAGTTGGTCACCTTACCCTCTCTAGGTCTTGCCGTAGGTGCATAAACATTCTCATGCGAGTGTGAATACTCTCTTCCCTTGGCTGTACCAGGACATTTTCTTCTTCCTCTTTTGGAGGAAATAATGGCTTATTGAAGTTACTCTTCCGCTTCAGCTTCCAGTAGTTATAGATGAAGTCCACAATTAGCATGGGCAGCCCCAGCTCTGTGGCTACATCTTCCACATTGACCATGGAATAGAACTCCTCCTCCAGCTCCCGAAGCTTCTGTGCCCGCAGGCTGGTCTTCTCACTCTTGGCCTGGCTCTGCTCTGAAGCCCTGTGTAGGGGGTACTCAGACTCCCTGAGCTTTTGCCTGCTTTGGCTGTGCTTGAGGCAGTATGACTTGAACTTTACTTCATCCCCCTTATCTAGGATGGTCTTCATTTCTAGGCTGTGCTCAAAGGCACAGGTGACATGGAAGGCAGTTATGCAGCTTTTTATTGAGCACTGTGGGGAGAAAAGATGTGTTAAGGTAGCAGGGCTGTGTGGGGAAAGAGGAAGCTCTATATGCCTGGACCTAAATTGAGAGCTCATAGGAAGCAAAGGAAAGACAAGGGAGAAAGTTGGTCTTAAACTGACTATGACGGACACCTTTCAAGTAAGCCCGGAAATCTGTTCTTTTACAAAACAATAAAAACAGAGGCAAAACAAATTTTTTTTCAAACTCTTCTTTAAATTTTAGCTCAAGCATTAAGTTTTTCTGAGAATTCTTCTTTGGCCCTTATATAAAGAGTCATGCTGTATCTTTTCTGTGACCCCCAATATCACCTTATTATATGCTTCTATAATGGTTCTTTTAAACTATACTTAGAGCATAATAAATGTAAAATTCCTGGCCATGGCTCTTAAAGACAGAAGCTGTGTCATTCATCTTTGTTTGTCATCAACTGTTGAACTAGCAAGTGCTCAAGAAATGCTTCTGAACAAATGAAAGAAAAACAGAATCAATATTACTGCCAGAACAGCTACTGGTTCTAAAAAAGTCACAGGAACTCCAATATTCAAGTAACCTAACTTCTTGAAATTGGTCTTATAGAGCTGTGCTGTCCAATATGGTAGCTAAGGTAGCCAACTGGCTATCTTAAATTACATATAAAATAAAATTAAAATTACATACAATTAAAAATTCAATTCCTTAGTTACACTAGCCACATTTCAACCATACTGGACAGCACAAATTTCCATCACATCATAGAAAGTTCTACTGAACAGTATGGTTACAGACAATTTGGAATTAAGTTTACAATATTCTTCCATTCATAGCTGTAACACATTTCTTAGGTACATGCTTAGGTACATTCTTGGGACATGCACTGAGGATTCACAGGGAGGCAAAGAGAACCTAGACCATGACTGCTTGACTCTTGTGCTGCAGTTAGTTTCAATTATGATTTGTTTTGGCTATGTTACAGTTTTCCTTCCAAAGATTTAACATGCACATGTGTTTATATTTTTATGCAAATAAAAGAAGGAAAGCAATGGAGGATTTGTTTCAAAAGATATAGTGGGAATTCCCATGATTAAAGCCAAGTCTCAAATCTTTTGGAAGCATGCATCTGGAGGGCAGACTGCTCAATTATCTATATGTTGGGTTTTTGATAACAAAACATAGAGAATGACCTTGGATATGAATAAAGACTAAAAAAATGCAAAACCTGGCAGGCCTCTTTAAAGACTGAGAAATTCAACACTTAAGAGAATACTGGCAACACATGAAAATATATTCAACATCGCTCATTATTAGAGAAATGCAAACCAAAATAATAGTGAGTTATCACCTCATGCTGGTCAGAATGGCCATCATCAAAAAAATTTACAAACTATAAATGCTGTAGAGGATGCAGAGAAAAGGGAACTCTCTTGCACTGCTGATGAGAATGTAAATTGATAAAACCACTAAGGAGAACAGTATGGAGATTTCTTTAAAAACTAGGGATAAAGTTACCATGTAACTCAGTAACATATAACTCAGTAATCCCATTACTGGGCATATACCCTGAAAAACTGTATCCTCAATATTCATTGCAGCTCAATTTATAATAGCTAGGACATGGAAGCAACCTAGATGACCATCAACAGATGAATGGATAAAAAAGTTGTGGTACATATATACAATGGAATATCAGCCATAAAAATGAACGAATTTGAGTCAGTTGAAATGAGGTGGATGAACCTATAGCCTGTTATACAGAGTGAAGTCAGTCAGAAAGAGAAAAACAAATATCGTGTGTTAATGCATATATATGGAATCTAGAAAAATGGTACTGATGAATCTATCTGCAGGGAAGGACAAAGACATACAGGACTGTCTCATGGTAACAGTGGTAACAGTGAGGGAAGGAGAAGGAGCGAGGAATTGAGAGAGTAGCACTGACATATATACACTACCATGTGTAAAATAGATAGTTAATAAAAAGCTGCTATATAACACAGGAAGCCCAGCCCAGCACTCTGTGATGACCTAGAGGGGTAGGATGAGGGGGTCTGAGAGGGAGGCTCAAGAGTGAAGGGATATATGTGTGTGTGTGTGTGTGTGTGTGTATACACACATACACTTATGGTTGATTTGTGTTGTTGTATAGCAGAAACCAACACAACATAGTAAAGCAATTATCCTCCAATTAAAAAAAAAGAATACTGGCAACCAGTGAAGCTTTAACGGGAGCAGATTCCACTTAATCTAATTTCACAGGATAAAGAATTCCAGGGATGGACAACAATTCAAAGATCATCTTATACAACCTCACACATGTTATTACTTGTGAAAAGTAGTGAAAGTGTTAGTTGCTTAGTCGTGTCTGACTCTTTGTGACCCCATGCTCTGTAGCCCACTGGGCTCCTCTGTCCATGGAATTCTCCAGGCAAGAATATTGGAGTGTGTTGCCATTTCCTTCTCCAGGGGATATTCCCGACTAAGGGATTGAACCCATGTCTCCTGCATTGCAGGTGAATTCTTTATTGTCTGAGCAACCAGGGAAGCCCATTATTAGTTGTACTTCCTGTAAAGTACCTGATTTGCTACCTAAACTGCCCCTTACCCTCAACTCCTACTTTTCAGTTAAGTGGTACTCTAGCCACTTACTGCATTCCTAAAACAGCCCACCCCAACTTAGCTTGACTGGGAGAGTTTGTTCCGTTACATTGAAATTTGTATCCTTAAAAATTCTATGATTTGAAAAGTCTCATGAAAACAAGGATGATGAAAAGCCCAAACTATAGTTTTATTTGGATTTCTTCTGTTATCCCTTGACTAAGAAACTAGCTGGTCGTTTAAAAAACCAGTAGCAAAAGGCATTCCATGGGAAAAGGCTAAAAATGTTGGGCATAGTGCTCTTCTGCTGTTTAATAGACAAAAATATGGGAAGAGAAAGCAAAAGGAATGTTTTCTGTTCAGGAGATGAGTGTGTGACATAAAACTACTACTAATGGGAAGTTAAAAACAGATCATCTCTCTTAGATCAAATTTATAAAATGTAGAGACATAAATATAAATTACTCAAAATAAAATACAATAACATGAACAAGAATTGGGTACTTAGATGAAAAATGAAATGTCCCTAGGAAACTGCCATAAAATCCATCTAGTTTCAAAAAAGGTCATTCTAAGGTCATACTCAAAGTTGGAAGTCCACAATACATATCTCGGTGATAAAGGAGAAATGCTAACCAATCAAATAACTTTTTACTTTTTCCCAAAAATATATATTTGGCACATTCTATTAAACAAAATGTTTTTGTATATATCTCATTTCTACTGTAATCACTTAAGGTGACAGGGGTGGTGGTGTTTTAATGCCCATTTAAAAAGAACAGCTTTACTGAGATATAATTTACATAACACAAAACTCATCAATTTTAAGTATACATTTCAATGTTTTAAGTATATTTACAGAGTTGTACAACCATCACCACTATGTAATTCCAGTACATTTTCATCATCCCCAAAAGAAATCTCATTTCATTTGCCACTCCCTGTTCCCAATCCCAGCCCTGAGCAACCACTAGTCTACTTTGTGTCTCTATAGTAATGCCTAGCCTAGGCATTTCATGTAAGTGGAATCATAGGTGGCGGTTTATATCTGGTTTCTTTCTTAGCATGTTTTCAATGTTGCAGCATGTATTAGAATTTCATCCTTTTTAAAATATGGTCAAATAATATTCCATTATATTGGATATACCACATTTGTTTATCCATTCTTCAGTTGATGGACATTTAGACTATTTTTACCTTTTAGCTATTATGAAATAATGCTGCTATGAAGATTTGTGTACCTGTTTTCATGTGGATGTATGTTTTCATTTCTCTTTGGTAACGTGCAATAAAGGATTAACTTTGCCAAAGAAAACTTTGGCCCTTTGCCTCTAGCTCCTGAGAGGTAACCTCTTAACCTTCAGAATGTCCTGTCTGATAAGAGTGTCTTTATTTACCTGGAGGCCTTGGGCCATGTCAGATAGTCTCTGCTAACAATGTGATTTATGGTGGAAGCTCTGAGTTACGTGGTATCAGCCTGACCTTTGGAGGGACTGGAGAGACTAGAGACTAAGTCCAGCTATGCAGGTGGTCAGTCATGTCTACGTGACCAACTCCTAATAAAATCTCTGAACACCAAGGTCTGGGTGGTTTTGCTGGTTGGCAATACTCTGTATTATCATACACCAATGCTGAGAAAAATAAGCACTGTCCACAAGATTCCACTTAGAAACTGGAAGCTCTGTGCCTGGTCTCTTCTGGACCCTGCCCTATGTACCTCTTCCTTTTGCTGATTTTAATCTGTATTCTTTCACTGTAATAAACTATGACCATGAGTATAAATGTTTTTGAGTTCTGTGAGTACTTCTAATGAATTATTGAATTTGAGGGTGGTCTTGGGGACCTCTAACTTGTAGATATATATACTTAGAAGTAGAATTACCAAGACATACCGTAACTCTATGTCTAACTTTTTGAAGAATCGCCAAACTGTTTTCCACAGTAGTTATACTTTTTACATTCCAATCAGCAACACATGAGTTCTAATTTCTCCACCTTCTTGCCAATAATTGTTATTGTCTGCTTTTTTATTATTACCACCCTAATGAGTATGAAGTAATATCTCACTGTGGTTTACTTTTAAAGGGGTTAAAAAGAAATAATTTTCTACTTATTTTTCAGAAATTATAGAAGAGAAATGAGTTTTTGAAATACTTTCATTAGAGGGAAAATGCTATCCTTACATGTTCACATTTGTAAGGGGAGTTGGAGTTTCTTGTGGGATGAGAATTGAATCAGATAGGGTGGTTAGAATAAAAATCTTTGAAAAAGAACACCAGAGACTGATTTAGGAATTAAATTGTTTCTTGCCTCTTTAAATAAATATTTTATTACTCGCCCTAAAAGAAAACAGTGTGTACTCCTCAAAAGCAGATAACATCTGTGCTGAACACCATGGGCCTGGTGAACTTGTCCT